ATAGACCATATGCATAAACTGTTGGGCACCAAAGCAAGATATGATCGATAAACGGTCTTCCTCTTCAACAATTCCGTTTAAGCAAGTATGGAAGACTGAAGCATGTCCAAGATTGGCTTTTTTGTGTGGGAAGCATCCAGACGAAGTGTTTTAACTATAGATACGATCATGAGGAGGGGGAGATGCATGGTGAATAGATGTTATATGTGCAAATGTTATGCTGAATCTTGTAACCATCTATTATTGTGGTGTCCGCCGGTTATGATCTATGGACTTCTATTTATGGAATGTTGGGAATCAAATGGATTACAGCGGTGTCGGTTAAGGATGAATTGTCGGTTAAAAATATTTAATGCTGATTCCACTATCTATAATGTGAGTTGTGTGGAAAGAGAGAAATTCAAGAGCTTTTGAGAGAATAGAAAATGATTTTAACAACATCAAGAATAGATGGTTTCATCTTTTTGGATCTTTATTCTTGGGACATGATATTCAGGATCTTGAGAACTTGGGGATGGTTCTAGATCATTTGATTGAGCTGTAATTATTGTATATTGAGCAGTATCCCCTTAGTACCTTTGTAATGAATATATATTAATATGGTACCAAGAATCCCCTTGTTTCATTTGGAATGATATCAGTTTTCATTTTAAAAAAAAAAACTGGTCTTCCTCTTCAACAAGAGCAGGTTAAGGAAGATAACAAGAAAGAGAAGTTCCTAAAATTTTCTAAGTTATCCTAGCTGCACCTCCTAGAAATAGTTTTGGAATGATATTGAGATAACTGCATTCACTGCTTTTGACATATTCACAAATTTATCAAGAAAGATTTGCTTGGCAAGAAAAATCCAATGATTTCAACCATCTAGAAGTTTACGAGAATAAAAACTTGAACTGCACTTCTGCACATGCAGTACATTGTATTCCATGATCATAGATTTATTGTATAATAAAAAATCTTGTAGAGGTCCCAACAGCGTTTTGTCAAGAAATACTATTTCTAAAGAGAAAATGGACAGTATGTAATGTTGAACTCTTCATCTCCCAATCAACTTACCAACGAAAAGTTGTCATCATCTCCTCTCTTGATATTATCCTCATTTGGAAAAAGATGCGCAGTCATCATTTCCCACTTTGTCCATGCTCTAGCAGCTGCATACTATGAAATAAAATGAGAGTCAAAAGAAGCATATCATTCACAAAAATTTCATCATTGCTGTAGCAAAATTAGTACTCAACTTTTTCTTTTAATTACATAAACAAATTATAACAAGACTTGGAAATCATTTAAAGGGAACTACTTCAACAATATTTGCTGCATAACACAGCTACTTCATCAGTCAAGTAGCTGTCTTGTGCAGCAAACAGTATTATTGAAGTAGCTGTCTTTTATGTTGCTCAGAGGGAAGATGATAGGAAGTGTTCTTGATGGCTTCTTTGGATTATTACAATTAATGTTTATTTGATGTCTAACACTTAATAAGCGATAAAGAAAAGTTATTTTCAAACATAATGCTGTATCTTCACCATCATTTTTTGAAACACTTCAGTTCAACAGCTGCATATTGTTTGTATGCATAAAGATCATATAAATCACAAAAATAAAGACTCAAAAACATTTTTGTACACTAAACAGAGCCTAAGTGTCTCTCATATCAAAATGAAAACAAACACCAATAATGATGTAAAGATAAACAAGCTACACATGAGCCAGCAGAAGAAAACTCTTACTTGTGTTTCTGCATTATCAGAATTCAACCTCTTGTGGTAGGCATCAACTAAGCAACCTCTCTCATTTTCCGGAATAAGGTCTCTAAATGGCTCCCAAGCTGTACATTGAAAGGATTCCACGAGCATTTACTCAGAGAGATTTCTCCACAGGTTCAATCATTAGAAAAGGCAAAATAATGATAATAATAATAATAATAATAATAATAATAATAATAATGAAATGTTAAAAGAAAAAAAAAAGTAAAAAATAACTCTATGAAATTAAACATGTTCCACTAAATGAAGTACAATCAGAAATGATTTTAAGAATTTCAATGACATCTGTGATTCCTCAGTTAGTATAATTTCTAAAACCAACTATCATATCTTAAAATTGAGAATATGTTGCTGGTCCAAATGTTATTTGCATAATTGCATCTTTCAGGTAGTGATGATGGAAGAGAAATTATCACAAGCAAATCAAACAGAAGCGAAAAATCCAAAGAAACTCCAGGTTCAGTAAAGAAATTCCTAATTCTAAGACTTTCAGCTTTGCTTTTATAAAAATTCTCATGACTATGACACTGTAACATCATGGTCTATAAAAGTTTTCATAAGCCCAATCACATGGTAAATTAAAAAAGGAAAAGAAAAGAAAGTAATGTATACAGACCAACAAGAATTATCCAGTAGATCAGATTACCATTACACAAGTCATACCATCAGGGAATATAGCAGCAGCTCCACCTTCATAAAACCAAGCAATCTCTTTCTTTCGCAAAAGAAAGATCCCTCTAAGGACCATGCCCGTAACCTTAAAACAGCATAATAGAAAACTATTAGAAAATCAAAAAGCCATTTCATGAGGAAACTTTAAATTACACATGACCTTATTTCCAAGAATCAGAAGTTTCAACAAAGGAAGAATGGTAAACCAAGCAGGATTAGGTACCTTCTCAGGGTGTGACTGGCTGTATGCAAGAGCAAGGGTACTTCCCCATGACCCACCAAACACCTAAAAAAAGGAATATTTTTTTTGTTACATGCAATGACAATTACCAACTGAAACATTGTAATTCTTATTTTGCTGTAAGTTCAGGATTAATATTTTAACCTGCCATTCTGGAACTTCCAGGTGTTCTCTTAACTTTTCTATGTCATTGATGAGATCCCATGTTGTATTTTGTTCCAAGCAAGCATGAGGTGTACTCCTTCCTGCACCTCTCTGAACAATGGGTATATGACCAGATTTGAAGGTGAAAGAAAGCTCATGTTATCAAAAAAGAGTGAAAAAGTAACCTGGTCAAATAAAATAATTCTATAGTGATCAGGATCAAAGAATCTCCGATTACTTGGTGTTGTCCCTCCTCCAGGACCCCCATGAAGAAAGACAACTGGCTGCAAGAATACCAAAAAAATGACAACCTCAAAGTGAAACATTTGTGTGCTTGTGATGGTATTCATGAAATTATTTATGTGCTCGATGTAACATAAGGCACATGCAGACATAGTATTAAGTGCCTAGACATACCATTAGAGCTACAGCAACTCATCTGTGAACATATAGATGCTTAAAGCTAAAGTTATAATTCATCTTCTGGGATCATGCTTTGTAGGATTATCAAGTTTTGTACCAAGATAGTTAGAGCTGGCAACTGGAAGATAACCATTTTCATTAAGTTAAGTAAGAAAAAAGGTCCATCTTAAAATTCAAACATATACACTCTTAAGATCAAACTATGCACCCACTAAATTAATATGAAACACTAAAATTTCATGTGTAAAGACCTCTGTGCACTCAGTTCTTCATAATGATATTACACGACAAGCAACACCTTTGATCTTACGCCAATAAGACACTTTTTCGTCCACCGAATGCAAACGTGAAAATGGGGATCAAACTTTAACAACAATGGTTACTCACATAGCCATTAGGATTTCCAGATTGCTCCCAGTAGATTGTATGAATTTCTGAGACCTTCAAAAACCCTGTGCTATACGGCTCTATAGATGGATAAAGGTTCCTGTTAACTTCTGGAATTTCTTGTCCTGATTCCATTAAGTCAATTAGCTGCCGCTCAATCTTAAAACCAATATTTTCCACACGCAACGCTAAACTACTTCTTCCTGCCAAGTAAAATTCACAACTAGAATATTTAGCACCTTCTTAATAATCAAAAAGTTCAATATTACAGACCAACAAACTCTCTCTTTTTCTTCTCGCACTGAACATTTTGTACTCCCAATTTTATCACTAGTCTTACTGCCAATTTACATTAACTTACCATTTTTAACCATACCACATATATTCTTTGACAAAAACATATACGAAGATCATGAAAAACATATAAAGGAAGTAAAATTAAAGCGAATACTGGTCTTTCTAATCAATTCCAGAAAATACGAACATTGAAAACAAACAAATTTCACAATCTGCGAGTTCAAAGAAAATTGAATTCAACCCCATAAACGGCTTGTAAAATCCCAGCAATCATGTTTGCAAACAATCACAAACATAAAGATGTATCTATTACAGAGAGGGACAACGAAAGAGACGGAGACCTGAGGGGGTGAAACTGAGACTGGAGGAAGAGAGGAAGGAGCTATGGTCGTTGAAAGGAAGTGACAAGGGAAGAGAAGAGGTAAGGGGAAGTGAAGAAGGCGGATGGACAGAAATGGGAGTTGCAAACCCTAACCTCATCCTTAATAGAAAGCTTAACGCTTAATACTGCTTTCTCCACTTCGCCAGCAGTCTCCAGGATGATGATGATGATCGTCATTATCTCCAGATTTCATGGCCCCGATTGTCGAATTGAGTTCAGTCGCTTTTGTGATTATTATTATCTTAATCTCAATACTAATTTCTAACAAAATACAAAATTTAACAGAAAAACTTATTTATGATAATTCCCTCGTTCTGAATGAGAATTTTTCTAATAACCAAATTTAATTATTTTTTTAAAAGTGCTAAACATTATATTATTATTTTACATTATGCCGTCTGGAAAGTGAATTATATAAAATATAATTAAGGACCAATCATTTAACTTGATAGTGATTAGATTCAAAACTATCCGTATTTTAGGTGTTGTTTTTTAAATTAACGTATAACTAGATTTAATTAATAAAATACATAAATTTTTATTTTAAAAAAAATAATTAGATATATTAAAATATGTCATATACATACCTACAAGCATGTAGTTCCATGCACAACGCTCTGTTTATATCTGGGCACTGAATTTCATAAAAAAGTTTCCTTCCATAGCATCATACATATACATAACTTGTGTTTTTATTTACAAGTTACAAATATATACATACATATAACTGAATTTCATTGCAAAAGGTTCCGTGGTAGAAATTATATATATATATATATATATAGGGATATGTATGAAAAGAAAAATGTTGTAGATGATATTTATATATATACAAGAAAAAGAGAAGAAACTTTGATTATTGCATTACTTGATTTTGCAAGAAAATTTTGTTTTTACTTATTATACGTAATAGTTCTGCTGTTTTAAAAGAGCTAAAATCTCAATAATGCATCTTGCAAATTGAGTGTGTCTAATCCAAGTATATAGATCTAATAATACATTTTTAAACTTTTAGGCTAAAATCAAGTGAAGTACAGGTGTAACAAAAAATATTTCAGGACCTTGTTTAAGCTCGATTCAAATTCAAAAATGCAAATCATCCGAGCGTCTTTGATTTCTCGTCCGGGCTACCTTCTTCGTGCCCTATATGAACAATGATGTTGGTAAGTTGACATGGCTCAGCATGCTCCAGCATTTGAACTATCATTCTCATGGAAGGCCTTAGAGCTGGGACTCTCACAGTACAAAGTAGTGCAATTCTTAGCACGTTGGCAGCATCATCTTTCATGGCTTCTGAGATGCTCGGGTCAACCAGCTCAACCAAACTCTCTTGGCTCTTCATTTTACTGCTTACCCAATACACTATGTCTTTGTTCTCTCCGAATTCTGCCTCTACCGGTCTTTTTCCCGTCACCAACTCCATCAGCACTACTCCAAAGCTATATACATCACTTTTCTCCGTTATTTTGCACGTGTACGCATATTCTGTCATTTAATATTTTTAACACAGTTTAATAAATTTAACAATAAATAAAATATAAATTGTGTAAATGATCGTTAATTGATGAAATGAAATAATTACGATATGTTAAATACCTGGAGCAATGTAACCATGAGTGCCAGCAATGACATTAGTCCAATCCCCTTCCCCACCTGCCTGCACAATCTTGGCCAGACCAAAATCTGCAATTCTAGGCTTCCATTCCTCATCCAACAAGATATTACTCGACTTAACATCACGGTGTATCACCGGTCTATCACATCCATGATGCAGATACTCCAATCCCTTTGCGGACCCCACTGCAATCGCGTATCTCACTTTCCAATCCATCTCGATCTTTTGACACGTGTGCAGCTGGTCCCACAAGCTCCCATTAGGCAAGTACTCATACACCAGGAGATTACTATCCTCACTTGTGATGCTACAGTAAAGCTTCACCACATTGACATGTCTTACTCTACTCAAAGCTGCAACCTCCGCGTCGTACTCCGTTGATCGGAGATTCTTTTTTGTCAATATGGTAGCGCTGCTCCGGTAGCTTCTCCAGTTGCCAGTGTCCGCCCTCCAGATATGTTTCACAGCAAATTCTTTGCCATTGTTCAACACAACTTTGTATACATTTCCTGATCCTCCTTTACCTATCAAATTCTCTGATCTAATGGCATCAATAACATCTTTTTCTCTGAAATTTACTAGACGATACGGTTTCATATCCCAAGAACTCAGCTTCAATGGATGATCAAGACTGTTCTGTCTTAACTTCACTGTCAAGTAACAACCCAGAGAAACAAGAAGAAGCAGCAAACCGGCAATGAAACAGGATACAAATGTTTTGAGGTGTCTTGATGAATGAGAATTGGATGGACATTGCGGAAAATTCTTAATACTGGAACTGCATAAACCGGGATTTCCTTCAAAGCTGCCAATGAAAAGAGAGTCGGGGATCGGACCAGTCAATCTGTTACTGGACAGGTCAAGAAGGCTTAACGTTAAGTCTGATAGAGACACTGGAATTTCCCCAGAAAGTTCGTTTCCAGATAAGTTCAATGAGTTCAGAGAAGGTAAAGATCCAACACTAGCCGGAATTTGACCGGAGAGTGAGTTGCCGGCGAGGTTTACATCAGCCAGGGAGTCACATGAACCTAGTGAAGATGGGATGATTCCAGAAAACTTATTCTCATCCAAATAAAGATTGATTATTTTCTTCAATTTGCCAATATTCGCCGGGATTTCACCGGAAAATTGATTTGAACTCAACTGAATAGTGACTAATGAAGAAGCTTCTGAGATTTTATCAGGTAATTCACCAGAGAACTGATTTTGAGATAAGATTATTTTCCCGAGAGACTTAGCATTACCTATGTCACTGGTCACCGGACCTTCAAGCTCATTCATAGAGAGATCAATGATGGAAAGATTTGGTAAACCCCATATTCCGGCGGGAACGGTACCAGAGAGTGAATTGTTGTTAACTCGAAATCGGATCAAAGACTTACAATTGGCGTAACTTTCCGGGATGTTCCCGGTAAGCCTGTTCTGCAATAGGAGAAGATCAGTCATCTGCCCGTTCTTGCACATGTCCGGCGGGATTGGACCCGTCAAGAAATTCTCAGACAAATCAATGTAATTAAGAGCTCCCCATGATCCAAGCTTCTGAGGAAGTTGACCCGTGAAATTGTTCCTGTAAAGAGACAACTCTACCAGGTTCTTGAATTCACCAATCTCCTCCGGAATCTCCCCTGTCAACTGGTTCTCAAATAGCTGCAAGGAGGCAATCTGCTTCAGAAATCTCACCTCAGATAAGTCACCTTCAAGCATGTTCTGCGAGGCGTCGAAGTTAACCAGGTTTATAAGTTGTCCAAACCCAATAGGGAGTTTTCCCGTCAAGGAATTGTTGTAGAGCTCGAGCTGCCATAGCTTGGTGAGGTTGGTAATCCCTGCTGGGATTTCACCAGATAATTGATTATCAGAGAGCTCAAGATTTTCAAGCTGGATCAGACTTCCAATTCCCTCAGGAATCTGTCCGGTGATACTACAGTTCGTGAGATAAAGCCAGTATAATTTCTCAAGCTTTAACACCTCCAAGGGAAACGGACTTGGATCCAATGGGTTATCGCCGATGCTCAAGAAAGCAAGCTGTGTTAGATTCTGCAGCGACCTCCATGGAAAAACCCCCGAAAACCCACTGTTATTCAGGTTCAAAAATCTCAATTCCTGTAGGGAGGACAAATTAGGAACTTCTCCTGAAAAGTAATTGAAACCCAAATCCAGGTACTGCAACCTGGTACAGCTCTTCAAGTCCCCTGTTATAACGCCGTGCAATAAGTTGGCTCCAAGATCGATCTTCTCCAGGGAACTCAGAGCACAGACAGAATCAAAAGGAGGAACGCCGACCAGCTGCTCCTGTGGAAGATTAATCTCCACAACCATTCCGTTCGAGTTGCAGACAATTCCGGTGAAGTTGCAGAAATGAGTACCCTGCGTCCATGTATTAAAAACTTCTGTCTGTGATTCTCGGAGTGCAGACTTGAATTCCTGCAATCTCTGAAGCTCATCGGATTGAGATGGGAAAATCAAGAAGGTGAGAAAAAAGAGAACAGAGAAAAGAACGGGCGGAGGGCGGTGGCGCCAGCTGATAACTTGGTGGACGGACATGGCGAGCCAGTGGGGTGTAGTGGGGTTCTGGTCAGCGAGGAAAGTAGAAGACTGGTTAGTGTGGAAATGGAAGGATTGTAGGACAGGAAGGCGGCCTGAAGTTTTTGAAAAAAAGAGTGGAATTCACATGCAGAATTTGTGTATGGATTAAAATTTCACAAGAAAAAATTTGTTACGTAAGTGAAGGATATATTTGTCCCCGGTTACCCTTTTCACGAGCAAGTCCACAGTTCCTTCTTTCATTATCATCAACCTTAGCGGTATAATATCCTAAACGACGTCGTTTTATTTTTCTTTTTTCCTTTTTCTATAAAATACGTCCAAATTACTTAAAACAGTTATTGTCGGAATTTCCTTTTTTTTTTTTTTTTGGTTTGATGATTTATTTGCTTGGTTTAGAAGTTATTATCTTGGTTTAATCATGAAAAATCAGTTTGCTGGCAGTAAATATCTGTTGACGATGACAAATTTTTCTCTTTGATGCATGCACTTACCTAATATAGTCTCGTCAGGGAATTATCAAAATATAAAAAGTATATATATATATATATATTTTTTGGGTGTTCTTTGTATAAATAATTTATATAAATTATTTTGAATTATTTGTTAAGTTTTATATAGACTTGTGAAGACTTACTTGAAGGCGGAAGTAATCTCAAATTAGAGCTGTCAAAACCTCATTAAGGAAATAATGATTTGAATTTTGATAAGTTGATACCGAGCGTGTAATAATTAATTAACAAAATTGCAATCAATTTCAGAAAATTTAGATGAAATCTAGTTTTTTAATTTGTATTAAATTCTTATTAATTATTCCACTATCATTTAAATTAATGCACTCATTATTTTTTAAAAATTTATATTAATATATATTATTAAATTTATATTTAAAAAAAATAACACTAATTAGTTTGGTAATATTTTAAAATAATTAAATTATGTGTTTTTTAAATATATATTTATGCATCTGATCCTGACACCCAATATGCATTAACAATGTGCTTTTATTCTCCAACTTGATGACAGGATGTTCACATTTTAAATAATTTAGTGTAAAAAAATATATTCTAAATAAGATAAGATTCTGATTTTCTTAGCTTTCAAGTTGCATGCACCAACTAAACTTATTTCAAAGTAATTATATTTTTCACAAAAACCCTCTCTTAGTTTTTAATTAGATTGATTACTGCTTTTTGTCTGTCTTTGTTTGGAAGTATGGGTTATTACTAATTATTTATTAATTAAATAATTTTTATAGTTTTTTTTATTTTATAAGAAATTATAATTTTGATTCAAAAAATGTATTTTAATTAGCATCAAGATTTTTTATAAAAAAAATATGGATTTAAATTTTAAACTACGAATTTATTATATTGTTTTGTATCATTTATTAATTTAATGATTAACAATTAAAAGTATTGATATTCTTGCGGGAAAAGAAAAATAATTATATATTAAAAAAGTTATAATAAAGGAGATTGTTCAGGTAGGAATGGGAAGACTGGAAGCGTCTTGTCTTGTAACAGAGAAGTGGGGCTAATAGCCGCCGAGCTTGACTATTTACCTCCCAATTTGCCACGTGGAACCCAAATATTAACCTTTTTAAAATCAAGGGAAAGCCAAATCACCGACTTGACCTTCCCTTCGTGGGAAACACGTTCCGCTAAGAATAAGCCACGTGTCCGCACAAACAACCAAGTATTAATCACAGCGCAACGAAAAGCACGTGGCGTAATTAAGTCAATGTCCATGCTCTTTTTGTATTTGTTTTTTTTTTTTTTTTTTTTTTCTTTTGTCGTTTATAATTATTTATTTATTTATTTATTTTTAAAAAAAAAAAAAACAGAAAGGAAGAGTGAAGGGAAAGATGCTATCATCAGTTTTGCCGGGAAAGTCACAAATATTTGACCGACAAAAGTAAAGTCTTCTATTACGTGGCACATTAATTATTTACAATGATTTTTTCTTTTCTCAAAGTTGATTAGACTAATTAAGTTAAACTATAAACTTTGCAAAAATAAATTCAATGAAAAATACATAAAATTTATATCATATCCTAATTTTATGTGAAAGTTTTTTGAGATATATAAAACATATGGAAAAATAAGCGACAGAAAATTATATCATTCATAATTTCAAAGTTTATAATAAATTAAAAATTATATAAATAATTATCACACCTTAATTTTGGGTTGAAAATATGCAAGATGAATGAGGTATATAAAAAAATAATTGATCAAGAGTTCATATAGTGCATAATCTCATATTTTTAGTAAATACAAAATTAATTAAATAGTAATATTATCATGTTCACATTTTTTTTTTATGTTCAAATATTTAATTTTAAAAAAAAAATTGACATGTATTAATAACTCATTCTACTTATAGATACATATATATATATATTAAACTTTGGTACTAAATCTCTATCAAAAACACTTATATCTTCTTAAGTTAATTTCTCACTCAATTCATATTCATTTGAATTTAAATTTCATATTAATTTTGGTATGTATAGTTATAACATAATATTTTGTATTATCTAAACCCTAATAATTCAATTATTAACTTAAACTTTGAAACTAATGCAACATAAAATATGTGATAATGCAACATCCTAAGCTAATTGTTTGGAAAACTATAAAAGTTTAATATCGTTAATTAATCCATTTCATGTTTCTTCTTTTTTTTTTTTTTTGAAAATGACCTCAAATATATTAATGATGAATCAAAACAATAATATCGAGAGTCAAATCCTCCCATACGTGAAAAATTGAGAATAGGAGTGCGTTTCCCACGAAACACCACATCCCCTGTCGGCTAACCCATTTATGGCATTGTTCGAGAGTCAACTCCTCCCACGCTCTATTATGCACAACTTCGTTATAGTTCCAGCTAACCCATTGAGGCACCGCATCTAGTCGCTGCTAAAGTAACGTGTGACAGTCTGTAACAATGAGACTGAATTTCGAGTGTCCATCTTCTGTAATAACCCGGAACTTGAAATGAAGTAAATTATAAATTAAATGCGGAAGCGAAATAGTAGCGTTAGAATTTATATTCATTACATAATAATTCAGAATACCCAATATGCCTACGGAAATGACCATTCTAAAAGAACAACTAACAATCAAAGAAACAAATGAAAAGTAGAGAAACTGAATATCCTACTCGCAACCCTTTTGTGGATTGAGATCTGGATCTTTATCCTCTTGATTTGAAATAGTTAATGAAATAGTAAGCTACACTAACCCAGTAAGAATGTCACACTACTCACCGATACAGAAATGAAAGTTGGTAAAAATCATGAAAATAACTAATGGAACTCTTATTTTAAGTAAATTCATTTATTATAAGTAAAATCATTTATTGTAAACTTATCGTAGCGAAATTTTTAAAACTTACCTATAGAGGCAATAACACCAACAATATCATAATCTCATGTACAATTAACTAAAACAACAACATTTCCTTTTTATCTGCCTAGTGGTATCTATTGGGGTTCGTAGGGATGTTCCCGTTATGCGTGAATCCTTATTCAACATTAATTAACTGACCGTCCCTACACCCCCTCCGGTATGAGCGTAAAAAATACTATCTCTCAATACTCTATCCGGTATGAGGGTGAAACATGGTCATCCTCATACCCCATCCAGTATGACCGCTAAAGTACCAATCCTCCATACCCTATCCAGTATGAGACAACGTTCACGGTAGGGTTCCTTATGTACCCGGTCCGTTCACCATCTTTCAGGATATCCAGTAAGGCTACCATTCATTCAATCACTTAATCAAACAATTCTCCATTTCTATTTAAATTTTAGTTTCATAATTTAACTGTAGATCACGTAAAA